CCATGATCATTCCGACACCCGAGCACTCCTACGAATTTTGAAGGATTCTCTATATTATTATGCTTTCACAGTCTCCAAATTTAAGTGTAGGCCAACCTTTGTAACTTATTCATATGCAGTGGAATCTCCATATCTAAGCAAAGCTCGGTGGTTTTTCTCTTTTCGGATTTGTCAAATAAAAAATATGATATTTTCAAGCTCTTTTACCTACCTATTTGTGTGCTAGAAATTCACGCATCACTAGGTATAAAACTCTCTCACACTACCCCTGCTAGCCTGCAGCTTCTATTCATTTATTTTTCGTTGCTATATTTTTATTTTTTTAAAATAATAGCTAAGTTAATAATTTCGCTCAGTTTTTATTGCTCAAAGTTTGACTTGACAACATTATAATTTATTTTCTTTTTATCAGATCACCAGCAATTACTCGAAATTCATTTGCCCTATCGTAAGCTTGGTCGACATAACAACTACTCAAGAATTATTATTCAATATTTCAATGAATTTCCTATCCACCCCTTAATATTACCTTACAAAATTATAGAATCAAAATGAGTTTTAGAATCCTTGAATTAGAAAATAAAATTATGTTAAAATATCCGAACAAAACATGATCAAATTTAATTTTAAAATTTATAGAGCTATTTTAAAAGGGGTGCAATACAAATATAATTTAGATTATGCTTGTTGCGCGTCGAATGTTCGCGGTGGTAGAGAGATAAAAAACTTAGCATCTTAGTTTTAAACGAAAATACAATACACATATAGATAAGAGAAGGGTGTTGCACTAATAAGAGTTACCATTTTTTTTTACATGAAAAACCCATGAATGGGAAAATCATGGGGTGATTGAGGTCGGAGAGATCGTAGTCGAATGACGATTGAGGTTGGAGGTACCATAGTCGGCAGGTGAGGGTAGTCAGAGGGATCGTAGCCAGGCAACGAAGGTCATAGGGACCATCATCTAATAGTTGAGGTCGAAGGAACCATTGCAACGTGACAGAGGTCAGAGAAATCATAGTCGGCAGGCGACGGAGATCAAAGAGATCATAATTAAGTGATGGAGGTCCGAAGGGATATAATTGATGGATGACAGAGGTCAGAGGGACTGTAGTTAGTGGGAAATTACAGATGTCGGAGGGATCACAGTTGGGTGGCGAAGATCGGATGGATAGTAATCAGTCTATGGATGTCATAGGGACCGTAATGGAATGATTGAGGCCGAAGGGACATTGTTAGGTGGCAGAGATCGGAGGGACCATAGTTGATGATAATGGTGGTCGAAGGGACCATAATCACACGATGGGGATCCAAGGGACCGTAGTCAACATGTAATGGAGGCCGGAGGGACCGTAGTCGGTGGCATGGGTGACAGTGATTGAAGGGATCTTAAACTGCCAACAAAAGTTGAGGGACCATAGTTGGGAGAGTGAGTTTAAGGGGATAGTTGTCGAGAGACTGAGGTCAAGGGGATCGTTGTCGGGTAGCACATGTCGAAAAGACGATAATCAGGTAACTGAAGTCAAAGGGATCATAGTTGGTTGATTGAGTTTGAATGGACCATTGTTAGGTAACAGAGATCAAAGGGACTGTAGTTGATAGGCGACATAAGTCCGAGTGACTATAGTTAAGGGATGGAGGTTTGAGTGACTGTAATCAGTGGGCATAGCAAAGGTCCGAGGGAACATAGTGTAATAGCCCATATTTTGAACTAGTTAAATAAAATTTTTTATGAGTCATTAAAAGTTCAAATCACAAATTATCTTTGTTATAGCATAAATATTATAGTGATTTAATTACACAAAATTTTTCATAATTTTTAGGCATCAGTGCAAATTCTTAAGAAAATTAACACATGTCAGTATAAGTGGGGATTTTGGGACCGTTAGGTGTCCGTTTTTTAAACAAATTTTATCAAAAGTTTTTAAATAAAATAAGCTATCTTATGGATATTTTTTTATAATTTTTGAAGCCCCGAAATGATTTATATGAATTTTATACTAAAAGTTAATTAAATTAAATAATTATACTAATATTTATATCATTATTTTATTATAAAAAATATCTTAAGCCACTCAAGGCATTAAAATCCCATTTCTCTTCTAATTTTGGATGATAGAGAAATATTAAGAGGAATTAGACAGAAATTAATAGAGAGAAAATAGAACGTAGAATTTTGAGGTGGTGGAGCGATTTTCGTCTATCGATCGTATTGGAGATTTGCTCGTTTCATTGTAAGAAATTATTATCTTATTTCTGATTTTTATAATTTAATAATTTTGAAAATTTATTGGTCAATTTTATATTTTTGTTATAAAAAAATGAGGATAATTTTGTATTGATAAATTTTTCATCATGTAACTTTTTATATGTTACAGAAATTGAGATTTTTTTAGTGTTTATTTGAGATTTTTTACTAAGTGATTCTAAAAAGCAGTGATTTTAACCAATTCAAAAAAAAAAAAAAACTAAAAATAGTATTTTTTTAGTTCAATTAAAGCTTCAAAACGTTGTTATATAGGATCAACATCAAAAACCTTCTGTGTTGTCCCAACACCTTAAAGCTTTCTTATAACCTGCAATGTGATCTTTATCAACTTTCTCAATCTGATGAAGATCTAGAGTGTTTTACTACAAAATGCTGCCCTAATAGCCATTATTTTTTGTAGTGTTGATAAATTTCTAAAAATGTGAATTTCTAGTTAGTGGGGTTTTTTATTACTTATTGTTAGAATATTTTGGCACTTTTTGAATTAATCCCAATTATACTTTATTTACTATAATACATAGAAAATGAATGTGGATATATGAAGATTGGTTGATTGATATAGTAATGTGATAATAATGTATATGTAATAGACAAGTAAAGATTGGTTGAACCATTGGTTGGATATTGATTGACCTATATAGGATAGTGGGCTAACAAACGTTCATTTACATACTATGATTGGATGTTATCATCTACTAATACAATTATATAATAATTGGGAGTTATAAGAAATTATTACTATGCTGACAGACAAAGACTAACGACTCTATTTATTGAGTCAACGGTTATCGACTATTGATTACTAAAAATATTGTGATTATTAGAACTTCTTATTTGTTTAATGTGACTACTGAAATGTATATTACGAATTCATTTTCACTATATGACTTTATTGAATTTCTTGTCACTTTATGAATTTATTGTTATTATATTATTTTACTGGTATGACCACTGAATTTACTTGTACCAATACAAACACTGATACTATTACTGATACTACTAATTCATTGTTACTATTATCATTATTGATTCAATATACTAATTAGTAATATTGAGCATATGACATACTGTGTACATAGGCTTCGTTTGGGACGGCTTTCTTACTACTTTTTAAAAGCAGCTTTTTAGTATAAAAAATTTATTTGTTATACTAGAAAGCTCTTTAAGAAGCAATAAGAAAGCTGTCATAAACTAAGCCATAATATACTAAACATGTGATTAAGTTACTAATTTGAGATTGATATAGAATAACTTGATAGCATGTGTATATCATTATAAAATTTATTGTATTTATATGATTCTAAGAGTCCTTACCGATGCTTTAATTTTACCATTTTATATAATTTTTTTACTGATTGATAGTACTGATACGACGACTATTTTATCAATTCGACGCCCATATTGATTTACTAGTTTTTCCAACATACTATTTTACTTACATCCATACCATAATATTTTACTATTTATAGATTCTACTGCCAATGTATGTGAGTTTTACTATTTATGCATTGATTCTTAATTATATGATTCTTACTATTATGAATTAACTAATGACATGGATACTGCTTATTTAATGTGCTTTGAATTCAGTTATAGGATTTTAGTGACTTACTTGACTATTTAGCTCATTATATATAGTTTAAATAATTTTAGGTCAGGAAAGAGATTCAAGAGTATGAGATTGATCGGGATTCCTCATGCTTTATTTTTTATTTTAGTTATTCTTTTGTACTCAAGAATGAAAGGATATATTGTGATTAAACGATTCATGAGTATTGTGTGTATATATATATATATATATATATATATTAATTTTTAACTTATAAAATTTATTTCCACTGTTTATTATTTACGGATGAAATTATATAGCCTTAATTGTTGTACAATAAAACATAAAAGAAAAAATTCTTTCAAATTAGATTATGGGGTGTTACACGTAGTTTATAGGAGATAGAGGTTGTAGGGACCGTAGTCAGTGAGTGATAATAGTCAGAGGGATCGTAGTCGGTGGACATAGATCGTAAGGGTCGTAGTTAGGTGAATGAGGTTAAGGGGACTGTTGTTGGGTGACATAGGTTGACACGACTATAGTCTGAGGGCAACAGTGGTCAAAGGGATAGTAATCGGGCAAACGAGGTTGGAAGGACTGTAGTCGGACGATTGATGTTTAAGGGAAGAGGTCGAATGAACAATAGTTGGACAACAGATGGTTGAAAGGATCATAACCGAGTGATTGAAGTCGAATGGATCATATTCCACAACAGTGATTAGAGGGATCATAATCAGCAGGTTATAGAAGTCTTTGTGCATTAGTGGCTACCGAATAGAGATACGACGATGATGGTCTAGCAAAGGTCCAATTGTGATGGTTGGGTGGCGAGATTTTGCCGGTGGTGGTGCCAAGGTTGAGCTCTCGAACTCTTCAAGTCTTATAATTCTCTTAAGTCTCAGAATTTACATGACCTTCGCTAGACCATCACCGTCTATGATACCTAAATAAAAACAAAAATTTAAAACTCATTCTGATTAAAAATTAGACTGAATATTATATAAATTTTTTCTCTTTAATTTATATGGAGGTTAATACTGTATATAATTTTCATAATATAAACATTTAAATTTTTTGAAATTCATGAATTTTACTGGGCGCGATATCTTCACAGCACTTTATTTTCAATATTACTACATCCACCTACTGACCACACGCCCAAAACCAACCTTATCCCTACGTTCTCGTGGCCGTGCTCTCTCTCCCAAATGTCCGGTGAAAAAACCACCTTCGTGTTCGAATTCCTCCGCCCATCCTTTTCCCATTCCCACAACATTTATTAACCCAAAACAACAGAGCGACACAAGCGAAGTAATGGAGATCCTATGCTTCCCAACCGCTCGATTCTCTCCCCGCCACCCAATCAAGCCCCCAACGCTCTGCAGCCCCGCCACCGTCCTCTCCATCCGTTGCGCACAAGTAGCAACAGCTCCCATGGGGGAGAAAACACAGTACAAAGACGGATTTTTTGAGAAGGCTTTCATGGGCCTCTTTTCTCGGAAGATGCAGAAGTACGCTTCTGGAGGAATAAAAACCAATCGACAGCTTTGGGAGTGGGACTACGACAGCTTCGTGGACGTCTCCAAAAGAGTTATGATGGGGCGGTCGCGCCAGCAACAACAGGAGGTGGTCAGAGAAGTTCTCCTCTCCATGCTGCCTCCCGGAGCTCCAGCTCAGGTTTAACTACTCTCTTCTGTCACTCATTAATACGCACCCGACTTAATTTCTTATTAACATTCACGAAATTGGTTGGGTTGCAGTTTCGGAAGCTGTTTCCTCCTACAAAATGGGCTGCTGAGTTTAATGCGGCGTTAACGGTGCCCTTCTTCCACTGGTTAGTTGGCCCATCAGAGGTAACCTCTTCTGTATTACTATAATTCCCCATCCATTTTTTTCGGCAAATGTATAGGATCCCTATTTGCTTGTGCCCTCATTTATTTGATAGTGCACATAATTAATTGTGGGTTGGGGGTGAAAGCGTTAACGATTGTGGCCCATTGATTAAAATCAGGGTTTGAAGTCTCCTATTTTATCATTAATAGTAATAATAATAATAATAGTAATGTTTGTTAGTGAGTACAAGCTAATCAAAATGTAGGAGTTATTGCCAAAATTGTAAGAAAATTTTATATTTTTTATTTAAATTAAAAAGAAAAGGGAATAGAGCTAGGGCTATGATATGGTAGGGTTGTCGATAAATGACGTGATTTTGGTTTGATATGAAAAATTTCAGGTTTAAGTTGACTCATTTAATAAACGGGTTGGATTTGATTCCTGCATAGTAACTTGTTTATTAAACGGGATGATTTTGGGTTGATTTGTCAACCTGATTTTGGCAAAAAATGACTCATTTAATATTTTTTCTTTAAATTCTTTTATTTGTTGGTATAATCTTCTTATTTATTGATTAGTTAATCTAATATATGTAGTTAACAAGTTTATGTATATATATATATATATATATGGATCCTAATGATAAATTTCTCTCTCTGGGATGATACTCTCTTTTGGAATTCAATAAAAGGATTAGGAGCAAAAAGTTCATAAGTAGGTATATAT